TGGTTCTCCGATATATATATTTCTAAATACCTACATATTATAGATAAATTACATCTAGACACAGAACAAATGATAGCGTTCTTCATCCATTTATATGTTGGTGAGATTCGAACCCAAGACCTCGTTATATATATAAAATATTCTATTGATTATATGTTTATACATATAACCATATTACACAAACAAATACATATTTAAAAATATCAAATATTGTAGACCACTGGTGATTAAAGCTCTAAAGATAGAAACCTACTCACTACTAGTGTTGAGAACGTCCTTTTGCTTCAAACCCTTGATCCAGCCGTCTATCGTGACCCTATTAAGGTGTCGGTCGAGGCTCTTGCCAATCAATTCATAAGCACAAGGGCTATCGGAACCATCACCGAATCCACATTCCACATACCGACGTGAGATAAACATTTTATGTGTTTTTCTTTACCTTAATTTCTGTATTATTGTGTATACTTACTTGTAGCCAACTGTCAGGTCCCTTCTTTACAATATACATAGAAATAAACAGTATGCCACACACTGATTTAGTATCCATAGGCACATCATTGTGAATCATCAAGTCTTTAATACACAGCTCTATGATAATGAACAAAGGAATTAACTCGCTGAGGCTCTCATCGTTTGCTTTCTGAACAATATGTAGTAACAGGCGTAGAGTAATATGGGATAGGGTGAAAATTTCGTTCTTTTCCGTTGGTGATAAGGTTTTGCTTTCGCTAAAATTTAAAAGATATCTGTTAGCTATGGCTGGACCATGATGATTATTTTTTAGAAGTTACTGCCTCATCATTATCAACAGTCTTTAATAGTCCACTGCTGGACATAAGCCTCTCCTTAGAAAGGAGGTTTTGGCCTACTATACCTGCTGGCCAGGGTTGGTATAGGGTTTGGAGTTTTCCTTCTTTCTGCAGTGCTGTTGTTCTGCGTAGTTTTTCTTCCTCAGTCGGCTTCTTACGACACCCACGGGATGAATAGGGGTGGTGGCACTCTGTATTATTTTTTTAAGGTGTAACTGCCCCATAAAACTACAATTTTAAGACAATTTCCTCTGGAATTAGTCTTTTAACGGAAAAAGTCCTCTTGGTTTTATACTTCATCTGTAGTAAGGGGGTAAGGTTTTTGCTAGTATGTAGAATAATTAAAGTGTGTCTAAATGTCCTAGTAGGTGTTAATTTCATGATTTATATATATTTAAAAAAAAAAGCCTGTCTTAGTGACTGTTTTAATCAAAGGACAGACAGTATGTAATGTTTTATAAGCTAGTGCTTTTTCATCTGTGACCTGGCTCCTTCACTCTCTGGCTTCCTTCACTTCATCACATCTGTTTTACTTACCCCTATTTACTTTCTTTCTTTAACCTGGAACCTTTTTTGGAAACGGGAACTTGGTGGTGATGATGATTTTCACTCATAGTTTAGATAATTTTTTACATATAGGTTTTTTTTAATGTCATGTAAAGACAGTAACTCTCATGTAAAATTCAAACCACATTTTGCTAGGAGATTATTGTGAATTCCAAGTATTCATTATCTGCTAGTCTCAAAGCCAATATCATCTGATCATGGTATATTACAGTTATTTAGTCAATAATATCAATTTAGGAAGTACAATACCTCAACAATAGATCCACACAGAAATCCAAACAGTTCATCAAGTAAGTGCCAAGTTCATTTTCCACAATCCGTACAGCTGCGACACCTGCGTTAAAATTCTCAATACATGTTGCCACTTTGCTTACGACATCTTCGTATTCCTTGTAGTGTGTTGGCTCTGGTGATATTCTTGTAGATATCTGTGATGCTAGTACACTTGTAAATGGTTCTTGAAGGTTGCTGTTTTTTGTGACATGCCTGGAAAATTAATTAACTTTAGTAAGCAATGTACATTATAAAATTATTAGTTTTTATAGAAACTGTAATGTAATATAAGTCTGCGTAATCATTATCTCTGAACAGTTAGCACAGTATTATCTCAGAACAGAAGTCATTATCTCTGACCATTATTTCTGAACAGGATTATATATTTACAATTTCAAGCTATTGTTATCTTTTATCTGTACTAGTTGAAACTATTTTGATTCCTAGAGCTTGGTCAGCAAGTCAGCATATTGTGGCAGTATATATATTTAAAAAAGACAACTATCGCATTAGGAATATATCCTGTGTCGCGGAGAACTTTACAAACATATGTGAAACGGACACTAAGAACACCCAGAATCATAACAACAATTTGTGGATCACAGACTGTGATGTCCTATGTGGGGATTGAACCCACAACACTTAGCGCAGTAGGAAGTGGCCAGGTGACCGCTTAAACCACTACGCTATCCGTGCAGTTAAATAATGAATGTCCTCTGCTGAAGTACAGCGTAACTAAAGCTTACTCAAAAGTGTTCCGGTTCTTATTTAAAGAAAAGGGTTTACTTACACTAACAGGCATAATTTTTACGCCACTGTTTAGTTATAGAGTTTAATATATTTTTCAAACGAAAAAGAGGGTAGCTGTAGATCTAATAGAAAGAGTTTTGTTAGAAAGGACGGGGAAATATAAATGATCGCAGAACATACAGAGAGTTTTATTATACCAAATACTTGTTCGTGCTAACAATTTGTTGAAAGAATTTAGTTAATTTAATGTTATTGTAGTGTGATAACAATGCACAAGTGGGATCGTAAAATTAAATTATATATTTGTCGTCTGTCCCACAAACTTGATAAATGAAGTGATTTCTATGTAAAATGTAGCATCGTATACGCACTGTTTACTTATATAAATGCTATATTAATTTAATCCCAAATACTATAAAAGCACATATTATTATAAGTGCTATATGTGTATACTAGCTTTTGACGGCGGCGTCGCCTTGGCCTAGATAAATAGTAGCCTCTATGCTCTATGCTATTCTAGGCTATAATCTAACTATGTGCCAAATCTCATCCATAAATACAAAAAAATAGGTGTCTAATTATTTCACCAGGGACTTCCACACCAGGGACTTCCTTTCTAGGGTATACCTGGTTCCTCGGCTATTAGTACCCGAGACGGCGTGCGGTTTTAGTCGGTTCGAGTCCGACATGCCACCGACAGGTGGTATCCGAGGGGATTTCCGCACGGAAAAAAAGAAAAAAAAAAAGGTGTCTAATTATTATTATTTTTGATAGATAATATAATCATACTAAGAGTTTGGAATTGATAAGTTAAAAAAAATTGTTCCCCATACAAACTTACACCCATTTTTAAGGTTACTTTGGAAAAATTTGTAACAACGTTTTTATTACTTTTTATACCTATAAAGAGTAACTGTAGTTTGAAAACATTGCTACCAAAAATCACAAAGTTTCATCTATATTTTCAACTTCCATTTTGCACCCATATTACTTTCTATATTGCATTACTTTCTGTAGACTATTTAAACTTATAGGATACTTTAATAAATTCTATTTTTTTTGTGCAATTAGTACCTAGTGATCAAACTTTAATGCATACAAGTGTATTTAACAAAAAATTGTGGTGGTAACATTTAGCAAATAAGGTTATAATTACATTATGAAATCAAACTCGCTTTTACTTTTTTCACTATTTAATTATTTTATGCTCGTTTTGTATTCTATAAAAAAATAATACCTTTGACTGATATTCAGAAGGTCAGGGGTTTGATTCTCGCTCAAGTGAAACATTTGTGTGCATTAACATTTAATGTTTGATTTGGTCTGGGTGTTTCTATGTATGATATGTATATTTACAAATAAAAAAAATGTATTTATATCAGTTGTCTAGTACCCATAGTACAAGCTCTGCTTAGTTTGGGACTAAATGGCGATGTGTGAATGTGGTAAAAAAAAACAAATGCCGTACGGTGAAACCGGTCAGGTCAGACTATATTTTCACCAGGTATGTATAGTTCCACCAAGTGGGGACAATCAAGAGTATAATGAGATGTTACATTACCTTGCGATAAAACATTTCAGAGGATGTTTAGCCTCTGCTTGTAGAAATACGACGACCATAAACTTTATAATATCAGTGTCAATCGCATCTCTGTACAGATCTACAATCTTTCTTAAAATGGGTAACTGTTCATCTGTAGAAGTGGCATCAGCAAATTTTTGAAATAACTCGTGATATTTATCTAAAAATTTAATATTAAATTATATTGCATAACATTGTTTGGTGGATTGTTTTTACTAAATAAATAACATACTATATTATTTCATACCTGATGTTTTAAAACTAGAAATTGATATGTTTACAGGAGAAAAACCAATTGATTTTTTTGATTTACTATCGCTACCTCGACTTATTCTCAACGCTAGACCATTCATGATGTTTAAATGTGGTTACTTGGTTAAATTGAGTCTATTTTATTTCAGAAATTAAAAAAATATGTTATTTTATCAACTTCAACTTTTCGTTAATGGCTTTGTGGTAGAATGTAACCACAATTTCGCCAATGTTTGTCTTTCAAATACATGACGTATTTGAAAGACAAACTGTCAAAGGATTTTATGTAGAGCTGTGGTAGAGCCAAAAAAAATAATTGAGAATGAAAGAATAACAATGAATAAATTGTTATCTTTTACAGGCATGATAAAACTTAAACTAGTAAAATATATAAACAGCTAATAATATATATACATATACAAAATAATAAATAACCAGTAAAACAAAAACAAATATTACACTGTGATATTGAAACTATCATTTAATTTTGCTTAAAGTTATACACTTACCTAGAATGAATACAAAAGGAGTAAAAATGCGAGACAAGAGTAATTTAAGACACGTGGGATGAGGAATATGAGGAGGAATGAATTCATAAATAGGAAAATTAGTTCTAGGACAATTAAAAAATATATGGTTCGCGTTTCCATCATCAAGCCTACACTCACAAATAGAGCTATCCCTAATTCTGAGTTTTGCTAAAAATACTGGAGTGCATGAGTGATTTAGTCTTAACCGACAAATTATAGAAGTGGTGTCTTTTTTTTTTTTTTTATATTTAGCAAACCACGGCTTAAGTGGATTTTCTGGTTGTATATCGCCGTAAAATTGGCCTGTCACAGTTTAAGACACGCGCCACAGCATGGACCACGAATCAAACAGCTGTGATTTAAGGGATGAACAAATATCGTAAGAGTATATTTCTGTATGGTCATGATGGTCACGTCTCTGTCACTCCGATGACACGAGTACCCCGGGACCCGAAATCGGGAACCAGGCACCAGCCATGTCTCCGAAATGGCGATAACTGATGGAATAAAAGAATTAATTAAATTGAGAAGCTCATGTTTCTTAGGACGAAGACTCTTCGCATTCCATTGAAGAACAACTGCCATAATTAGAAGCAAGGGAGAGGATATATGTAAGTTTCTGGGCAACGTTGGGCGGTAAAGATGATTTTTATTTGATATCAAATTGACAATCATAGATAGCAACAGCTCTAATAGACCTTCATCTTGAGTAGGCGAAGCCTTTGATTGAGAACATTGAAGAGAGTATCCGTTTGGCAAAGACGACGATTCTTCAGAAATAGGGCTTGATGAGCAGCCTTGTCGAAGGATTTTCCTAAAGGAGCCTTAAGACGCGGGAAAGAAATAACAGTTTTTTTATATGATATAGTAGTGATTGGAGGAGAACGCTGCTGGGAAGATGTCAAACTTGAAGAGAGCGGGAAGGAAGGCGAAGACTGTCCAAGGACTCTAGAGTATAATTTGCCAACTTGAGGAAACTGCCTGGCCACTTCCTCATAATTTAAATTTTCTTGAGCCATTAAGGTTTTTATACTTTTCTGCCTTCTCTGCTCTGGCAAGCACCGCTGGTAGTAAAATGATCACCAAGACAGTGAAGACAGGAAGCTTCAGCCTCGACTACGTTACAAGTCTCCCCAGAGTGGGTACACCGGAAGCAACGTGGCTTTGACCGGCACTGTAATTTCGTGTGACCAAATCGACAGCAAAGGAACCATCGGATAGTTGGAAAATTATACATCTCACCGGGTAGGACGAGTGATAGCTAAAGATTCTTTGTGGGAGGATTTTTCCGCGGAAGGTTAAGACCACAGACTGCGTAGGGATCCATACAGTCTTACCGTCCTCAACAGTTTTTCTACTCAGTCTTCTCGCTTTTAGGATTTCGCCACATCTATCAGGAACAACTACAGATTGGACAAAATCCGTCATCGACCAATCTGTTGGAATATGGCGAACTACACCCATTTTGGTGATATTGTAGGTAGGTATCGAAGCAGTGTATTTGTTAGTATTCAAAATAGGGTTGTCTAGAAATTTATTTGCATCTTCAGCTGACAGAAATTCAACTGAGATTTTGTTTCTGCCTACTTTTTTTACCCCATCTGTTGCGATTTTCGAAATTTTGTTAAAACATAAAAATTGACCAAATTTTAATGGGCGAATAGAGGTGCCGGAGGAAAGATCTGGTTCTATCCGCGATACGTGCACTATAAACGGGGCTTTATCTGAAGGTTCGTACATTTTAACGCCTATCACAATACTCGGATGGATATATACTGTTTTCTGTAATATTTCTTTTTGGATCCCCATGACAGATAGCATCCTCAGAGGCAAGGCGACGCTTACCATGAGAAGCCATCTGAGGAACCACTCGACCTAAACCTCCAGGGTCCGGGGGATCTGGAGGAATAGGGGGAGACGGGCTTCACAATGAGGGACATACCTATCTTAATTATTTAAAGGATAAATCCTTTATAAATATTTAAACAAATAAACAAAGATAATAATCTATTTAAACTAAATGAAACAAATTACTTACTGAAAATTCTACACATAAATAATAATAAGACTGCCTGATGATTAAAAGAAAACAATTAAAACTAAGGAACAGAAAAATAAGGTTAGGATCCGAGTGACAACTCCTCTCCACAACCCAGCGAAAAGCCCTTAAAAAACCAAAATCTCAACATAACCTCAATCATGTTATTTTATATTTTGCATTAGATCAACATACTATGGATAGATACATTGACGTGATGGTAAAACTAAGTTTAAACGTCACTTTGACAGTTTGAAAACAAAACGAATCTTGTTCAGAAAACTTATAAACTCAACTTTTCTAATTTGTGATTTTTATAAATAAACTAGCTGAGACCCGCGTTTGTTGTTATAACCGCGGGGCGAAGCTAGTCTAAAATAAGTAGCCTAAGTTACTCCTTATGTCATCAGCTATCTGCCAGTGAAAGTCGCGTCGAAATTGGTCCAGCCCTTCCAGAGATTACCCGGAATAAACAGACAGACAAAAATGGTAAAAAATGTTATTTTGGCATATGTACCTACCGTGTGTAAACCTACATATACATTTAGTAAAAAGCGGTTTTTTATTTGCAATTATATTTATTTGTATAAATATAGATCATCATCATCATCATCATCAACAGCCTTTACTAGTCCACTGCTGGACATAGGCCTCTCCTTAGATATAGATGTATAGATTAAATGATTTTATTGTTACAAAATGCTCCTGAAAAATAACGTTTACCACCAAGTTAGTTTCTGATGATGGGATCCTATAGAAATCTAGGGAAACCCTCAAATTTTACAGCCCAGACCCTTTGTTTTAGCTTGTTTAACTATACAGGTATTTGAGTTTGGTAGTCATCTCATGTTGCTGAGCTGAGTTACAAACTCTGATATTTGGCGACAATTTTTTTGTGTTAACAAAACTAAAATCCTTGGTAGTGGCCAAGCCAGTGTCAGTGATATTTTAAAGTAACATTATCTCTAATAACTTCGAAAAGGTCTATATGAATTTTACTACTAAAACGTTGTTATCACAATAAATAAAACAAAAACAAACTTCATAAAAAAAAACATTTATTTCCTGTATCGTTGATTTTTTTTTTTTTTTTTTAAGGACTTTTATTGTCCGACATATCAGTCATATTGTTATACAAAATACATTGTTTACAAGTACCATTATAAAACTTAATACTAAACATTAAGATATATTGGAATTTCCGCACATCTTATAGTTTCTCAGCTGCTTATGCGAAGAGAGAATGCTATGAAATAATCCAATATCTTGTCTTCTCTTGGAATAAATGTTCTTTGGCAATACGATTCCGCTGACATTCCAATAAAAATGGCGGACATCGTTATTGTACCACAGGTTTCACAGTTGGGCGACTCATTTTACCCCATCTTACATTCAAACTTATTTTTCTATCTTTCTTTCTTTATTTCAGTCACAACGTTGAGAACAACCTGTTTGGTTTTCTGTTCCTTAATTTCTTCTGCAGGGACAGCATCTTTCTGGATCTCATTCGAAGGTTTGCTTCCACTTAGCTTGCTACCGTCGTCGCTGCTTTCGTCATTATCGACTGTAAAAGAAAACATTTCATAAGTTAATATATCTTACACTTAGTTGTCGTAGAACCAATGCCGGAGTACGGGCTCCTCTCCGTCACATTGTGGAAACATACAACACACAAAGGTGTGTTGTATGTTTATTTATTTTATTTTATTTGTTTATATGACACACAATACAACTATTTTTACAGGTTTTGTACCTAATACAATAGTGTAGCCATTTGTTGTTAAAAACATATATAAATAACACTTATTTTATAAACAATTTTAGCAACCTCATTCATCACTACAGCCAGACACACAGTCACACTCATATACTTCCAATCACACCAATCACACCCATCACAGACAAACCACTCCCAGACACGGCACATACTGACCCGCCTATCACACAATTTTCTCAAAGTGCAGCAACTCAAATATAAAATACGCACGATTTACACTTCGTTCTTTCAAATATTATTTCGTGTGGGTTGCACATACACTAAACAGATTATTTACTCTAACTTTAAACTAGTTATTACCCAACGTGTAACTGTTTAATGTCCCATTGAATAAATAAATACCTGTGACTGATTTACGCACAGGACTCGTGAAAGGTCTGAATCTAAAAAATAAAAAAAGGTCGTAATCTTTGATAAAAAGAATTATGACTGATTTTAATGCCTTTTATCTTTGTCTATGACGAAATCACAATCACATGTGAAATCGCTGTGATTAAAACGAATCATTTGACTAGTTTAGGTTTGGAATTTAAAAGTCATTACATGTTGAAATCTATATATATATATATATATATATATATATATATATATATATATATATATATATATATATATATATATATATTATATATATATATATATATAGATATATAAATAAATATAAGAGATTTCCACGTATATAGTCACTCATCACGATATCTCTGGAACGATTAGAGCTAAAGACTTGAAATTTGGTAGGAATATTCTTTTTCACCGAGTAGAGGTCAGCTAAGAACGGATTTTAAGTTTTTTTTTTTTTTTTAAATAATGTAAATAGCAAAACAACGTTTGCAGGGTCAGCTAGTGATATATAAATACGTCATTGGACAGGGTGCGGACTGCTGAAATTCAGGAATCTTAATAGTTTTTCTCACTGTCCCACTATGTATTGTTTTATTTTTTCCCCATTTTCCACACAATAAAATACTAACAGTTTTAATAAGTAACAATAATTTGACGAATTAAAACAAACTTAAAAAAATATCAATATCGTGCTAGCGGTAGCAACCTTGCGGACGGTACTAAGACGATGGCGGTACCTGCAGCGAGGTGCGGGCGGGGAGGCCGCATTCCACGCGTTGGTCTAAAACGCTTGGTCGAATAGTACATAAGTATAGGATAATTATTTCATGCATCAGACACACATTGAAAGTAGTGGACTATTATTTATTTTTAATGACACACATACAGTTATAATTATCAAATAATTACGTAACAAAATACAAAAGACAATAAGAATAGTCGATAGCCATAGACAAATTGATAAAATAAAGGAAACATTATGCAGGTATGTTATAAAAGACTTTTTTATCTGTGGATTAGAAAGAGTCCACTAATATCTTTTCTCCTAGTCTTTCCCAAACAAAAATTGTTTTACACATAGCATTAAATATTATAAAATTCTAAGAAAAAAGCCGAATTTTAAAATACATTTTTTTTACTACAAGACGATGCAATTTGATTCGAATAATTTTTATGTGAAGACCCGCCATTATTCTTTGATGCCTTTAATTAATTTGCAATTTAATCAAGGTGTTACGAAATATAAAGTCAAAATTTTAGACGTGTTATATAAATTAGCTCAAAAAAATTCCACATCATAAGACCGTTACCTTTTCTGCCCAACTTAGCGCAATAGTTGAGCACTAGGTCCAACATCTGCGAAGTGAGTTGCCCCACGCTGTCCATGTAGTGGTCTAGGTGGGACCACGCGAACATCATCAGGGAGTCCACTATCTTC